CAGGAAGGAGGAAGGTGTGGGTGGCGAGCCTTGAGGCAGAGTATAGAATAAGCCTTGGGAAGATGGTGCTGGGGTCCACTAGGACCCTCTGGATCCACCAGGGTGGGGTGGTGAAGAGCAGAGAAGAGGCAGAGCAGGTAGACTCCACCCTGCCCCAGAGAACAAGCCAGAGGAGGGAAAGTAGAGAGGGGTGAGGCTAAGGGAAGGGCGGAGGGGCAAGTGGGGTGAAGCAGAAAGTTGGGCTGAGGCCCAAGGTGGGGACCCGGAACAGCCAGGGGCCATGCGTGCAAATGAGCAATCAGTCAGGTCCCAGCATCCCACCCATCGCCTGGGCCCCAGCCAGACACACCCCGCGAGGAGGCCCCCTGGGTGGGCCTCCCTGCCTCCTGTGTGGAGGTGAGGGAGCTGCAGACTAAGTGAGGGGCCCAAGCTGGGGAACTCTTCCCGTGCCCCTGAATTCACACGACCCTTGACAGAGCTGGAGGGACTCCTCCCAGCTAGGTCTGCCCACCCCACTGAGCTAGTATGAAAGGTCACCTGTGTAAGAAGGGACATGTCCCAAGGGATGAGGAGTGGCCTCTCGGGCTGAGGCAGGTGGAAGGTATCCTGTGACAGCCCCAGGTCACACTGGAGCCAGGGCAGAGGCTGGTGATGAACAGATAGGGGGCGGGAGGTGCTGCAGGGCTATGCGGGACAGCTTTGCCGCTTGGGCTGCATGGCCACTTCTCAGCCACCTCCATTTGACTGTGGCCCCTGAGCCCTCCAGGACACCCGAGGGACCTCAGCCAGGTGCTGCTTCCAGCAAGGCCCTAAACAAAAAGGGTGAGGCCCAGCGACTTGTCTGTTTTCTTTACCCAGCCCCTCCTTCTGGGCCCCTCTGCCGGTCTCTGCTCCAAAGCACCCGCATCACTCATGCGGGTCCCCTCTCTCACACCCCCCCCAAGTGTCAGGAGAGGGTGACATCAGGCCCACCTGCAAAATTGAGTGGCGCCGTCCGGGGGCTCTTGGCAGCGTGCCGTGGGTTCCAAGCAGCCAAGTGATCTACGAGCTGAGGAGGGTGTGAGGAGAGAACACACTGCAGCCAGGTCCCAGCCAAGTGCACGCACGGCGAAGGGCTGGTGAGGCAGGGCTCCCCACCCCCACCCCCAGGACAGAGCCTGCCGGCTGCCGGCCAAAGACAGAGAAGACGCTGGTGGTCAACGCCATTTTCTCAGTCAGGCTCTACTGAGTCAGACAAAGGAAGCTGAGGGTACCACGAGTCGATGACCTCGGCATCGCCACGAGAGGACTGAAGGGACACAGAGGGCAGGTGTGGCCAGATCAGCTGCAGATCCTGGCTGTGTCCAGGCTAGTTAGGGTCTCCCCAGGGCCTGAGGGTGGGGGCATCCTTAAAAGAAGCAGGCCCCATGTGAGAGTGGTCAGGTCAGTCAGTCTAGTCCAGGTCTGGAGGCTCCAGACTGGAAGACAGGCTACCTGTCCTGAGGCAGGTCCTGGAACTGGCAGAAGATGGGGGGAAGGGGACGGGCAGAGAGGCCCATCTCAGCCTCTGAAAGAGATGCCTCTTAAGGATAGGCTCCTGGAGTGGTCAGGAACCTCGGCCCTCAAGGGTGAACAAGCCTAGGTTCATTGCCCATTGAAGAGGACCGCAGTGAACATTCTAGACTCAGGCAGGAGCTCCTTGGGCTAAGACTAGCATGGAGTTTCTAAGACCACTGATAGACACTTTCTTGGGCTCAAGGATCAGGAGACTTCACTCACAATCATCTCCGACCTGCTGGGTTTCAACGCAGCAGAGCTGACTTTGAAGGCAGGATCCAGGACCTCAGGAACCACCCGAGGGGCGGGGAGGTTTATGCCCACCACAGTTCCAAAGCTCCAGGTTGACCCCTGACAGACCCAGAGGAACAGACTTGCATAAGCAAAGGCTGAGCACCCCTGGCTCTCCCAGTCACCACCAGCCCTTGCAGGGTAGGGTCTCCTTCCACCCCTTTCTCAGGCAGCTGCCAGGGACATGCTTGGGGCAAGAGAGGTCCATGTGAGAGGGCCTGGGCACTGTTTCTACGGCTCCAGCTCCCCATGGCCCTGTTCACTCAACACTCCCCTGCAGCTGCGCTGGCCTTTCTCTTGCATGTGTGCTTGTGCCTTACCCCATGAAGACGCCACGGAGGAGGAGCAGGAGGAGGATGAGGAAGGTAAGGGCCAGTGGACCCAGCTGCAGTGCCCAGGTTGTGTCTGCACAGGACCCCAGCTCTGGCCAGTGCTGCTGGACATGAGCTGGAGAGGACCATCCCTATCTGCCTGCTGGTGTCTATGGTGCTGGCTCCCTACCCTATGGTGCTGGTTCCCTACCACTCTCCTTCGGCCTGTTCATCTGTCCTCCTCCTTCTCTTCTCTGGCACGGGTGTCGGATGGCCAGGTCTTGCTGCTTCGCACCGTGTCTGCCATGGGGCTCCGTCTGCTGGGGCCTCGTAGGCACTGACCTGCTCGGAGCTTCTGCCTGGTTGGTAGGGAAGAGTCAGCAGACCAGGAGCCCGTGCAGGGGTATTCCCACTTCTCCTGAGCTCCTGTTTTCTTCAAGTGTCATCTCCATCCTCTTCCTATTTCTCTGACTCCCCGTCCTTGTCTCTCCTCCCTTTTTCCTTCTTGGTCTGCTGAAGACAATACACTTCTCACCTTTGTTTCTCCTTCTGTCCTTCTTCCCCTCTCTCCTGGTTCCCACACTGAGCCCTTCTCAGGCCCACCACGAACTTTTACTGGCCTGGAACAGGGATGTGACCCTTTTGTTTATGGTGGGTGGGTAGGTGGGCTCAGCTGGAGGGGCAGGTGGCCCAGGAAGCCCCCAGCTGGTGCTCTCCCCAGCACAAGGGGCCAGTCTCACCTACTCTCCCTCTCTCCCCCTCCCCGTGCTGGTGCTACGGTGACCAGAGGAGAAGCCAAGGCCCAAGTGAGTAAGGGTTCCCAGTGGGGCTGATGTGAGTGTGGGCTGGGGTGGGCACCAAGGAGCAGGCTGGGAGGTGAGGCTTGAAGCCCCGGTTAGGAGGAAAAGCCCAAGTGTACAGGGGAGACTTTGGGGTCCAAGATAGCATGGACTCTGAGGTCCAGTCGGGTGTGGTTCTACCCCCAGTCATCCAATGTAGGCAAGGAGGACTTCCTGCAGGGGGAGGCTACTGACCAAGGAGGGAAGGGGTGCAGCAGAGTGAAGACAGTCAGAGAAGGGAAAATGAGGCAGTGGGGTGCAGGAAGTAGGGGTACCTCCGATCTCCGATTGCCCTCTGTGACCTCACTGTGCCCAGCCAAGGCCCTAGATGCGAAACAGACATGAACATGGGCTGGGAGGTGGGAGGGAGGGAGCCTCACCTCAGAGAGACTCACTTTTGAACAACGCCTTGATTGTATGCAGAAGAGCTCACCACACGGTGAGCCGTTTTGGGGGGCAATTTTGTTTCGGAGATCCTTGTCCTCTCCCCACTTGCACGTATTTCAGAGATATTTTTCAAATCCAAATCGTATTACTCTTTTGTTTTCGGTAAGTGCTTACAAGCTCACAGCACTTTCTCCACGCTTCCCCCCTTTATCCCCTTGAGGACCCGTCTGCTTTTTGTTCTACACAGAATGAAGTCTCGGAGCGTATCCGAACACGCCCCGTGTTTGCTCCCTCGTAGGGAGGCCTTATGGATTCTCAGAGGCAAAGTGAAAATATGTCGAGAGCATAGCCAGCACATTTCTATCCTTTGCGCTTTATTTTTCAAATAAAGCGATTTTTTTTTTTCAAATAAAGCGATGCCAGATCACAAGATATTTTCTCGTTTTCGAAAAATTGTTTGTGTTTTCATTATAAAAATAAAACACCTCATTAAAGAAAATTTGGAAAATACATAAAAGTCAGATGAAGAAAAAAAAAATCATCTATAATTCTCCCACCCAGTCAGCCAGACGGTGGAAAAGAGCAAAAAGAAATAAAAAAGCCTTATTTCTTCCTACTCTTTTTCCATGCATAAGGCTCGGAAAAAAAAAGATTTAAACGGCACCGTTTTTCAAACATCATACTGTCTATACAACCTTGAATTCAGCTTTTTAAAAATGTAGCACTATTCATAAGTATTTTTCCATGTTTTTACGTAGTCTTCTTAAATATTTTGAATGGCCACATAATATTCCATCAATTGGACAAACCATAATTTTCCTACCCGGTCCCCTACTGCAGGCTTTCCCCAATATTTTACTATCATAAATAACGCTGGGTGGAAAGCATTTTCCGTCTTTAGGGTTATTTCCCTAGGCCACATTCCCAGAACTGGAATTACTGGGTCAAAGAGTATGAACGTTCTTAAGACTTTGACATCCTTTGCCAAATTGCTTTCCACAAGGGCCTGGCCAACGCGGTCTCCTACGTGGGATGTAAGCCCCCACCCTCCTCACCCGAGGACAGAAACGTGCTTTTACATCGGAGCCATTGATGGATGAGAAACGGCATCTCACGGGTGTTTTCCTTTACATTCCTCTGATGGCTCGAGGGCCAGCCTTTCCCGAGTGTTTGTTAACTGGTTGTCTTTCTTCTTAGAATCGGTAGCTTATGCCCTTCGCTCATTTATCTCACGGCGGAGGCGTCTCTATGTTTTCTTAATCATCAGTTTGCATAAGGATATAAGTCTTCTCTGTATTTGCTGAAAATATTTTTGTACTCTGGGTTCTTTTTTTTTTTTTTTTTTTTTTTTGGCCTTTCCATTTTTGCCTTTTTTCACATACATAAGTTTTTCATTTGCATGGGGTCGTCTGGCCATCTTTCCCTGAGAAGGACCTTGTGCGCTATTGAGCTTAGAAAATCCTCCTGTGTTCCCGTTGTTGATCAATATTCAGTGCCCCTTTCTTCTGTGGCTTGTTTTGTAAAATCGTTGATGTTGTTTTAACGCTTTGCTCCATCTGGAACGTATTGGTGTTTGCTTAAAATTTTTTTTTTCTCTTGGTTTTTTTTTTTTTTTTTTTTTTTCTTTTTGGCCTTTCCATTTTTGCCTTTTTTCACATACATAAGTTTTTCATTTGCATGGGGTCGTCTGGCCATCTTTCCCTGAGAAGGACCTTGTGCGCTATTGAGCTTAGAAAATCCTCCTGTGTTCCCGTTGTTGATCAATATTCAGTGCCCCTTTCTTCTGTGGCTTGTTTTGTAAAATCGTTGATGTTGTTTTAACGCTTTGCTCCATCTGGAACGTATTGCCAGGAGGAGGGGGACATCATATAGCCATCTGGACCGGGGGGCCTTGTTTCCTTGTTCAAGAAGTTTATTCCCAGCCCTCTCTTCTCCTTCCTTTGGGCCCTCCGAAAGAAACATTAAAGGGAGGCTGGAGCAATGAGAAGAGTCGCAACAGTCATTCCTGACCACAGTGGCTAATGTCTACCATGTCCACACCACCTTCCCACTAGACTTGGCTGCATTTGTTTGTTTAAGGAAGAACTGTGGTGTCTTTCCTGGATAGATGGGGTAATGTCCAGAATCTGGCAGAACAGAAGAGGACACTAAGAGATTGAACCCTCCTCAAAGAGATCAAGTCACAGTTGGAACTGTGCCCCCAGCCATGTGCAAACGTACAAAGGCATGAAGGCCAGCCTGGTCAGGCTAGTTCAAGCCTACCCTCCCACCAGTGGAGTCTCTAGTTGTCCCTGCTCATAAGTTTCGCCTTCTCTTTTGCAGACTCACTGCTCCTAAGATCCCGGAAGGGGAGAAAGTAGACTTCGATGTAAGTTTTTGTGACCCAGATGAATACAGTCACCACCCCCTAAACCCCAGCCTTCAGGATAAGCCTCAGAAGGTCATCTCCTTTCGGGCAACCAGAGCTACAGCTTCCTGATTCCTGGCAATTCTGCCATAATTCATTCCTCCACCAGAGGAAACTCCTCCCAAACAGACATTTCTCCTCCCCCGCTCTCCCCATCCACCTACCTCCCCATCCACCTCCCCACCCATCCATCCACTCACCCATCCATCCACCCACCCATCCATCCATCCACCCACCCATCCATCCATCCACCCACCCATCCATCCATCCACCCATCCATCCACTTAGCCATCTGCCCATTTTTTTTTTTTTTGAGAGGTTTTTGCTATAGGGTGTGTGTGTTTGCTGGAGAGACAGAGAGAGACAGAAAGCAAGAAATCATCCCCCAGGGGAAATGGCCATGCCTCAATCTCTCTCCTCTGTTCTCCTCTCAGGGTTTTGGGTATGCATGTGCACACTTGTCCAGCACGAGTTTTAAACCACAGGGTCCGGGACTCGAAGCACAGTTGACTATGTGAGAGTCCAGCAACAGAGCCATTATACCGTACGCTAGTCTCCCTACCCATCCATTCTTCTACTCACCCAGCCACCCAGCCATTCATCCATCTATCTATCCACTCAGTCTCCACCCATTTCCTTACTCATCATTCATCCATCTACCTGTCCACCCACCCATCCACCCGTTTTTCCTGTCGACCATCTGTATGCCCACCCATCTATCTTTTCACTCGTCCTTCTTTCACTCACCTACCCATTAATTCACCCATTTGCTCACACACCCATCCACATGTCTGTCTGACAAATCGACCTCACTCACCAGTCCCCTCTCTGTCAGGTCCACGCAGGGCATCTCTGCTGATGGTGACCAAGCCAAGTCAGAGCCAATCTCTCTAGGGCCTGACCTCACCTACCCTGTGGCTCAGAGGATCAGACCCCCAGGAAGGCAGCAGCCATGGCGATGTGGCAAGGGTAGAAGTCAGGGCTTCTCTGCTGGCCAAAGTGGCACTTGCCACCAGGTGGGTTAGGCAAGACCAAGGCTAGAGAGAAAGGGTGGGACTGATGGCCCCTTCTGCCCACAGGACATCCAGAAGAAGCGCCAGAACAAAGACCTCATGGAGCTCCAGGCTCTCATCGACAGCCACTTTGAAGCTCGGAAGAAGGAGGAAGAAGAGCTGATCGCTCTCAAGGAGAGAATTGTGAGAGCGTGCGGCACCTGTGGTGGAGGGGTGACAGTGGGAGCTCAGGGTGGAGGCAGTGGTTGGGGTGACAAGGCTGAGACTACCTGCTCCTTGGTCACAGGAGAAGCGCCGGGCAGAGAGAGCTGAGCAACAGAGGATCCGCGCAGAGAAAGAGAGGGAGCGCCAGAACAGACTGGCGGTGAGGACCCGTCCCCGTGAACCACCCTCCTCCCCAGAGAAGTGTGGAGGTCTCAGGCCTCCCTTCTGGGTTCCTCTGACATCAATTCATCACCAGGATCACTGGTCAAGGCCCCATCCCCTGCAGAACCCCCTGCAAGAGGGCAGACCCTGACCCAAACCTGGAACTTCCTTCCAGAAAGTCCTAAATCCAGAGCAGGTCCCTGTAGCCTGCCTCTACTTCAAGGTATTGGGCGTGGGGTCTCCATAGGAGGAAAAGGCCAGGAGGGAGGAGGAGGATGCTAAGAGGAGAGCTGAGGATGATCTGAAGAAGAAGAAGGCTCTGTCCTCCATGGGCGCCAACTACAGCAGCTACCTGGCCAAGGTGAGTGCAACCGCTCAGCCCAGGGGACAGTCTGCAGCATGGGCTTGGCGGCATGCCCTCTCTGAGCCCAGGCCCTCTGTCGGGCCCTGTGTCCCCACAGGCTGACCAGAAGAGAGGCAAAAAGCAGACAGCCCGAGAGATGAAGAAGAAGATCCTTGCTGAGAGACGCAAGCCACTGAACATCGACCATCTCAGCGAAGACAAGTTGAGGTGAGGGAGGGGTTGGCATGGCCAGCTCTCGGCCCTAGAGAGCTTTGCCTGGCTGTTTCCTGAGGCCACTGTGGCCCTGCTCCCTGTGCTGGATGGAGGAGAATGGCAGGGCCCAACCCCAACTTTCAGGTGTATCTGACCAAGTCTCACCTTTTTTACTTCCCCAGGGACAAGGCCAAGGAGCTGTGGGACACCCTGTACCAGCTTGAAACCGACAAGTTCGAGTTTGGGGAAAAGCTGAAACGTCAGAAATACGATGTGAGTCCAGGCACCTCCAGCCCATGGGCTCCCTCAGTCTCCCCAGCAGCAGGGGCAGCCACTTTCCTGAAGCCTCCACTCCAGTATCCTCTGGGTGGGTTGTGTAGGCCATCCTCAATGACCCCACCAAGACTGCTGTCCTATGAGGACAGCTGGGGCTTATCCTCGAGGGGCACCCTGAGCAGCCCGACAGGACCACCTCTAGGTGAGAACCATCTAGAGAAAGCAGCCTCTGGGTCCATTTTCTGTACCCTCTAAGGCTTATAGCGAGTCCCCAGCACCACTGAGCTCATTTCCAAAGGCCCTAATCTTTCTGGTTCTGGTCTCCTCTCACTGTCTTCTCTGCAAATCCTAGTTCTGGCCACTGCCAGGCCCCTGAAATATCTAGGTCCTCTGAGCAGGCAACGGGGAGGATGCACACTTCCACCCGCTCCTGGGAAAGAGAGGCTCAGCTGAGTCTTCTCTGAGGAGGCTGGCCACCTGGAGTAGTCTGAGGGGTGCTCACAGAACAAAGCAACCTTCCCACACAGACGCTGCCATCAAGGGCAAGGTGGGGGTCAGGAGGGCAGCCTGCCAGGGGTAGTCTACAGAAGTGAGGTGAGACCTTGGGGCTAGAAGTGAAGCCAAGCTGTTTCCCACCCTCAGAGGCCCACATGGACCCCGCGACAGGCATCAGTCCTGGTGGCTCACATGCTCTGTACAAACGTAGACACCTTGAGCTTCTCCGTCCAAGCCATGATGCCAGCTCCTTGTGTCCCTCCAGGATCCTAAGGGCGAGGGCAGCTCATGCTCACAGGGTCTGTGCTCTGGCCTCTTAAAGTGGAGCCAGGTGACAGTGGGAGCCAGGTGACCAGCACTAACAGACAGCCAGGCAAATCCTGCCTCCTCCTCTTTAGTAACTCTGGACAAATGACCTGGCCTCACTGTGCCTCTAACAGAGGTGGGACAACTAACCTCTGGAGCTGTCCCCAGGCAGAGGCATTCCTACAGGCCAGTGTGATCTAGGCCTGGGGACACAATACTAGCTTTTTCTGAGGATCTCCTGGGAGGGATTGGGCCAGAGACAGGCCTCACTACAGAGCCCAGGCTGGGCCCATTCTGTGTCCAAGGAGCTGAGTCAGGACCTACTGGCTCCTGATACACTGCCCACCTGGGTCCCCAAGGGTTCAGAGAGCCTTGAGGGCCATTGCCCCACCAGCCGGAAGCCTCTGCCACCTACCCAGCCCGAGTAACCATCTTGGTCTTTCTAGATTATGACTGTCCGGGCCAGAGTGGAGATGCTGGCCAAGTTGTAAGTAGCCAGTGTCTGCCACGGGCGAGGCCCATGGGTATGCAATGCACGGCGATCCTCCAGCATGGCAAAAACCTGAGTCGCAGAGGATGCTGGGGCAGGGGCCTGGAGCCCACAGGGCCTTTCTCTCCTTCAGTCTCACCTCCTCCCTCTGGCCTCCAGCTCTGTGGCTCCTGGGGTGGCCTGCTGCCCTTGTTGGTATGTGAGGAAGGACCTCACCTCCCCAGGACCTTCACCTTGAACCAGGGTGCTCCTCCTAAGCACAGTCCAGAAGAGGGAGCAGGTGGATCAAGGAGCAAGAGGGCAGTGTGTGGCTCCAAGCCCAGTGGCCACCAGGGAGCCAGGGGTTGGGAAGGAGGGGTCTACAGACCTCACTCCACCCCACCTGCACTCCAAGCCCCCTGCCCCACATCCTGCACAGGCTGAAAGGTAAGTGGCCAGCTCTGAAGCTGCTGTGTGCCAGAGCCCGGGCCAGTGCAGGCCAGAGGACTTAAGTCAAAGACACGAACTCTGAGGGCCCAGGGACAGTGTCCTTTTCCAAGAGGAGCCAAGACACAGTAAGGAAATGAGCAGCCCTCGTGATGGCGTAAGATGTGACTGCAGTGCAGACACCGCGGTCCTTCCTGCCCTGCGGCGAAGAGGAGTGTGCACCTGGCCCATGCCCAGCCTGGCCCTCCTGGTCCCTGTCACAGTAAGTCGTCTGTGTTGTTTACAGATCACCAACCTCAGAAGCCGCATCGACCAGGCCCAGAAGCAGTGAGTAGCCCTGCCCATCCCTCACTCTGCACCGGGCACAGGAACCCACGTGCCACCACCACAATCCCTGCCTGGGGCCTGGTCATTTTAGCCAGCTCCTAAAGTGACCGGTCCTCAGCAGGGCAATAACAAGACTAACTGTCACTTGGGCCAGCATGTCCAAGCCCTGCCCCGGGGCCCACAACCTCCTTTCTCACCAACAGAGTGGAACCGAGGAGTTCAGTGGGGTTGGGAGGAGGGAGCCAGGTGGGGCTTGCCGGTGATGGCCTGCCCTGTGCCCAGCGCTGACCAGCAGAGAGGAGGCAGTCAGGAGCCCTCAGGGTGCACACAGCCCTGAGCAGCCTCCAGAGTGACCTGGCAAAGCCAGGCTGGGCTCTTGGACATCCCCAACATTTCACCCTTAAAGGTGTCTTGGGATGGGGAATTAAAAGACCTGGGCTTTGTCACCAGCCCCTTTATTGACTGTGCAAAATCACTTATTTGTAAGATGGTGGCCACTCACCTGTAAATCATGTCCCCCACGGGGGCAGTGGGACCTTCAAGGACCTGTGCTCAGGTGCTCACGATGATGGGCCTTTCTGGGGATCTTGTCACTGAGCCTGGCTGTGGAACCAGCTTAGACTCCTCTAAGGAGTGCAGTGTTCCAGAAACTAGTTGGCGTTGCAAGGTTTCTGTGGAGGTTTCTGGGATTGCTCGCCCTCTTCCCACGGGCCCTTGCTGCTCTACAGCACAAGATGACACCTGAGCCTCCCTGTGCCTGCTGTACAGGGCAAGGGTCATCTGGGCCCTTTGAGAGCAGGTATTTCTGTAAGGCGTGCATGTGCAAGGGTGTGCGTGCATGTTCATGCGTGTAAGTGTGCTCAGGAACATGTGTGAGGGCACAGCCTTCACTGGGCAGAGGTCCTGCTGAGCTGCCGTGTCTGAAAGGGGCTGGCCACGTGGGCTCAAACACTCCTGACTTTCTGCCTGCCTTGGCGCCTCACCGAGCACCCAGCAGCCAGCTTCCTCTTGGCTCACTGGTGTGCAAAGGGCCTCAGACAGGCAGGTGGGCTTCAGAGGACCATCACCCTTTGGAAACTGCCTTCGGAGTGGCACAAATGCTTTCCAGGCCAAAGTATCTGGGAGATGGTATTCATCTGTAAGACAGCCTTCCCCAGCTGGGATCTGTCTGCAGGCAGGGAAGGGAGGAGAGAGGGAAGTGCCTCAGGCTCACTGCACCAGCCCCCTCTCCTAACCACACTAACTGCCCAGGCCCCCAGTCAGGCCAGGCACAGGTAAGTCAGTACTGCTTGGATTGGAGCTGAGTGTGGGGACAGGAGAATGGGGGCTAGGCCAGCCTCTCGCTCTGGAACAGCCTGAGCAGGCAGAGCTCTCTGGGCTGAGGGTCTGTACCAGCCGACACGGGGCTGACACTCAAGACCAATTTGCTTCCCATTTACAGCAGCAAGAAGGCCGGAGCCACCGCCAAAGGCAAAGTCGGCGGGCGCTGGAAGTAAAGGAGCCCAGGAGGGCCCCCGAGGCAGAGACCTTTGGCCCTGGCTCACTCCTGGGCCTGCTCACCCAACATCATGTCCTTCAGCCCTCACACCCAGGCTCCTTCTGGGGTGCCAGGACAATCCTGGGGGTGGAGGGGCCACCCCAGAGCAACCCCCTTGTCTCTGTCCTCACTGCCCCCATCCCCTGGGGTCTGTGAATAAAGCTGGCAGACTCCCCTCCACCAGCTGTGTGTGTGTGCTCTAGCAGGGGACCCTGGGGAGGGGGCCTGAGGAAACAGGGTCCTGGTGGGTGCCCAGCTCAGGGGCTAGCTCAGAGATCACAGGGCACATTTCACCTGCTACTAGTGGCGAGATCCATCCTGCCATGGGCACTGGGCCCAAATGCTCCACCTGAATGCAAGTCTGCCTTCTGACAGGGGGCTTTTTCGGCCCTTGAATGCCCCTTAGTGCCCCTCCCTGGAGCCCACACTCCCCGCAGCTTTCCACTTCAGCCAGGGTCTGCTTGTCCACCCTGGTGGGCTGTGAACCCCAGTTGGGGCAGGAAAAGAACTTTGCTTAAGCAGGAGTGAGGGAGGGGCCCAGTGCCCTGTGGGAGACTTCAGACATCCCCGCACCCCGAGGCTCTTCTCTGAGGAGCTCGACACATCAAGGGGGAAAGGAATGCAGAAAAGCACATTTCCAGGGAGACGGCAAATATGGCAAACACAGACCGTTTTTCTATATTATAAGAGAACACAGTGCACAACTGTGTAATAAATTTGAAAATCCTGACCAAATAGAATTATGGAAAATATAAATCACAGAAATTGGATCAAGACGTTAGGGGCTTGTACAGCAAAGCATTCATGGAGAAGGTTTTGAGCCCAGAACTGCCTCTCCAGGAAGGCTTTGGGGAGGGCAGCTGCATCCGTGAGCAGGATTTAGGGAGAAGAGAGCCTGTCCCAATGCCAAAATGTAACCCTCAATAGCACATGCACACATGTGTGCACCCCAACACATGCACACAGCAACATGATCCCCTGTGTGTGCACCCCAACATGCACACAGCAACATAATCCCCCATGCATGCACCCCAACACATGCACACAGCAACATGATCCCCTGTGTGTGCACCCCAACATGCACACAGCAACATAATCTCCCATGCACACACCTCAACAAAGGCACATGGCAACATGATTCCCTGTGTGTGCACCCCAACATGCACATAGCGACATAATCTCCCATGCATGCACCTCAACACATGCACAAATAGCAACATAACCTCTGTGTGTATAACATGAACTCACAGTCCCATAACCTCTATATCATAACACATACATGCACCAACACAAACCCCATGTGTGTGTACCTAAATACAAACACAAGACAACGTAACCCCTATGTGTATGTGCACCCCGACACTCCATGCACAGCGACATACTCCCACAATGCACACACATAGCAACGCAACCTAATGTGCATGCATACCAAAACACACACACACAGGACAACACAACCTCCATATGTAAGTGTGTATGTGTGTATGCATACTAGCACACACATCCTTGGCTTCTTATAAATACAGATTCCTCCATGTATATCCTAACACACATCCATAAGAACCCTCATAAGCACACACACATACCCTCCCATTCGCAGACATAACACATACACACACACCCCACTATGCCTGCATAAACAACACACACATATGCATATACACATACCTACTCTCTCGTGCCCATAATAGACTTATATTAGACTTTGTTTAAATATACGAAGTCTGGCCAAGTACACTTTATTCCAGTAATACAAAAATGGAAATCTTAATATAATAAATGATAGCATTCGTTGATCTCATATCACCAATCATGTCACATCGCCTGAAAGGCCACTAAAACAGCACAGAATTGGGAGGAGGCAATCAGCCACACTGGGGACAAAGGTGGTCTCCACACAGCAGTTCACCCGGAGCTGTGATGACTCAGGGTACAAGTGGGTTCACAGCAAATGGCCACATCACAGGAGAAAATGAACAAGTCCAGTATCTGAGTGCACATCTCCTAGTAACAGAGATATGAAGGAAGCCCAAAATTATGTAGAAGAAGATATAAGATGACACTAAGACTACCAAGCTTGGTCAAATGGACACTGATAGAATGCTGCTCCTCTGAACTAGAGATCACATGTGAGACATGGATAACAGTTGACCATCGACCAAGACTTAAATCGAGTTAACAGAATCTGAATCATAGGAATGTCTTAGCCGACTGTCAGTCCTCTGCAGCTCAGTCAGAACCTACTAGAAGGTGACTACCTCTCAGCACATGTTGAGAAATGTAAAAACACACCTGAATATCTCATAGATCGAAGAGGAAGTTAGAGGGACCAGCAGGTGGTGTGGTGATTAAGGCGCTGAACACTCCCACATGGCTGACCAGGGTTCGAGTCCTGAATCTGATGGCTTGCTTTCTCATTTCCTCTCTCTCTCATTCTCACCCTTTGTCTCTCTCTAGTCAAACTAAAAAATAAATGAATGAGTAAATAAAATAAAACAAAAAATTATTTTTAAAAAAAGAGGAAGTTAGAGTAGAAAGCAGGAGATACTGAGAGCTGAATAGTGATGGAAGAGCCACAGAACAAAGCCCCAGGGCATAGCTAACAGGACAGAGAGGGAGATATGGCACCTGAATTCTTCTATCAGAAAAGAGAAGAGGCCAGCAGGTGGCATGGTGGTTAAGGCACTGGACTCCAACATGGCTAACTGTGGTTTGAGTCCTGGGCCTGGTGGCTTGAAACTCGGGCCTGGTACATGTGTGTGTGTGCCCAAAGTCCTGAGAGGACAATGGAGGGGAAGCGATTGCAGCGTGGCCATAACCCCTAGGGGGTGATATCTCGCTTTCTGTCTCTCTGTCTCCATCTGTCTCTTTCTCTCTCCAGTGAGTACATGTGCCATATAGCAAAAATCTTAAAAAGAAAAAGGGGAAAAGACCCCCAAAGTCTATAAAGTTATATAAGAAATGAGAAAACAGGGCCAGCTCCATGATGCAAAGGTAATGCACTATTCAAGAGAATCTGGATCCCACATGGTGACCACATGGTGGTTTGAATCCCCGACCTGGTCAGCCTGAAACACCCCTGGCACCTGCTCAAATGCCCAGGATCTGACAGGGAAGACCAGAGGCAGGGGATCACAGCAAGGCCAGAGCCTGTGGAGGATACCTCTCTCTCCCCCTCTCCCTCTTTCTCGTGTGTGCACATGCACTCTATCATGAACAAAGAGAATTTGTTTATAAAATGAGCAAAAAACTAAAGCTAAGAAAAAATAAGAACTAAAGTACAGAACAGAGATTCATAAAAAATAAAAATGAATGAAGATCAACAAATCAAAAACGGATTCTGCAAGAGAACTAATAAAAGCATCCCGCATATGGCGCAATAATTAAATAGAAAGGGGATAAGATACAAACAAAATCGGGGTGAAGAGAGGAGTGTAACTGTAGATATTATGGAGATTACATTTGTAGTAACAGAACACCATAAATAATTTTATGACCATATATTTGAAAACTGAATGAAATAGCTCATTCCTGGGAGAAATATATCAACTGAAAAAGAACAACTGTGAAGTAAAAGTTCTAAACAAAAAGGAATTTATTGGTCTTACAAAACTAGCACAAAAGAAGGGTCAGGTCCTGGGGCATGCACGCAGATCCCACCAGCAGCATGGCCAGATGGAAATGACATCATGTCCGTTGACCCTGAAAAGGCTAGGGTCTTTTATCTAATAAAAGAGGTACAATACATGTAAGTTGTTCTGAACAAAGATAACAAAGGAGGATCTTGTAGAGATGGGAGACGGGATTGGGCGAAAGTCTATCAGAAGTGGCTGCTGCAGCAGCTTGGCAATGACGGTAGTCCTAGTCGGCTCAGCAGGATGTGTGATCGGCCTAAGGGAGTCTGTAAACCAGAAATTATCTTGAGAAAGAATGCCTTGTAAAAGTCAGCCACACAATCAACAAAGAGTTATCACAACCGGTAAGCAGGGCCCCCTTCCTCTGAGTTCTCCGGCTCTTATTCTTTTATTTTGTATAGCGATTTCTTCTCTAGATAAACTTTATTGTCACATACACAACTTACAGAATGGACTCAAGGTGAAGGACAAGCCTTTTGAATAGGCTGACTCATTTGAAAGACATTGAATCTGTAAATATTAAATCTCTCTCAGCAAAAACTATGAATTTTTAAAATCATCATGACCAAATGGGTCTCCTCTAATGAGAAGACTTTTACAACACAGCTTATGTTTTATGCTTACGACACGTAAAGTGTGTAAAGCTACAAAAACAATTAAAATGGGTAAAATACAGCACTGTTCAGGAGGAAAATTCCTAGGCAGTTAAGAATAGAAGAAAACTTCTTCAACCTGACGATGGCATTTTCCACCAGCTCCAGCAAACATGGTCCTTAGTGAAATGTTAGATGACTCTCTTTGAAATCAAGAGATACAGGTGGTGTGGTGGTTGGGGACACTGGAGTCCCACATGGCTGACCTTGGTTCGAGTCCTGGACCTGGTGGCTTGCTTTCTTGCTCTGTGTGTGTGTGTGTGTCTGTGTGTGTGTGTGTGTGTGTGTCTTGCTCTGATCAAATTAAAAACAACTATAATAATAAATAAAATAAAGGAAATAATTATTTTTAAAAAGAGATAGAGAGAGATGCAAAATGTCAGTTTCCAATTTCAAATTGGTCAGTGTTCCACTGGAGATATAAGACAGTAAAAAGAAAATAAAAAATAAAAGGAACTGGTAGGCAAGAAAAAATCTATCATTATTCACAGTCATGTAATTGTCAGCGACGAAATCCTAAATAACCTGCAATGCGAAATCATCAGCACTGAGAAGGGTTCAGTGCAGCCGCACGTGAGCGTAAGATGCAACAATTAAGGGTCTCCTTAGGTACTAGAACAAAGAGTTAGGGAACAGAATGCTTAAAGACACTGTTTAGAACAGGAATTTAGAAAGCATAGAATAATCAGAATAAATCCAACAAAGATGTACAAGACAGTTACAAAGAAAGTAAAAAATAAATAAATAAATTACTGAAAGATATTAAAGAAAAACTTAAGCTGGACCAGCCGGTGGCATACTGGTTAAGACGACTGGATGCCACATGGCTGATATCACGGTTTGAGTCCTAGGCCTGGTGACTTGAAAAACATGCTGGGCATGT